CTATTCAAGTTAACATTAAATTAAATTCAGCTTTTCTTCTCTTTTTTGTTCTTTTCGCAAAGATTAGAATTTCTTTTGGCATATTAATTTAAAAAAATCATATTAATTAATTAGAAATGACAAAGGATTATTTAGTATTGTTTGAGGATTAATTTGACATTGATGAAAACATTAAATCGATCATTAAAGATGATCGATCAAATGACATAGCCGCGTGACACTTGATGACTCTAGCAGGTAAGCTTCAAATTGTAAACCTATCTAATTGGAAGCAAAAAATTAAAGTAACCAAGTAATGTGTATTATTTATGCAAAATTATGCATGGTTTTTCTTTTTTCTTGTATTACTTCGTTATATTAGCTTGTATTTTGCATATTTTCCCTCCACTTTTCATCTTTTCTGTTGTCTTTTTATGCAAATTTTCCTTTTGATTAATTACTTCTGATATGCTTATCTCATATTATCCTCTCGTATGTTTATCTTTATTTCTAGACACTACAAGGTTTTGCTTGTTTACCTTATATTGAAAAGATTGTAAGTCATAAATAGATTGGTTAATTATGATTAATTATGATTGCTAAAATCAATAACATTTCGTTTATTTATATGTGGCACTACGATAGCTGCTCTTTTACTTTCCGTTTTGAAATTCGATCTCACAATGATCTTTAATTATTATCATCTCCATCCATTTATAATTGCAGCAATCCTTATTTTATCATTAATGGAATAATTAAATACTTGAAGTGAATTTCACAGTTCACAATTTTTTCCATGTTTCTACATTAATTATAAGAACTTTTGCCAATTGTTTATTGTAACAAGTAAATTTTGAATTTTAAATTCAATATGAATTTGATTTTAAAATTTTGGCACTTTAACCACTTTTGGTTAAAGTTTTTTTTAAAAAAAATTCCATACTGCACTCCAAAATTTTTCCTTCATTTTTGGAACAAATGCTTACGAAAAAAAATAGAATCATTTTAGGAATTTATCAAAGTCTTATATAATTTCACTTTATGATATTTTTGGAAATACGAATAGGATATCCGAATACGTAAACAATGTGACATCTGGCATAAAATTTTAAATAAGTCATAGAATCTTATCCCATAAATACAATTCAGTCCTATCATATCTTACCGCTATCAGAGTCTTTTTTCTTCGTTGATCTTCGCCGATCTTTTGCTTTTCAGAATCTCTCTTTTACACTCATCTTTGATCTTCTGGCTGCTAAGAATCATTGATTGCCATCGGAATCTCTCTTCTACATTCATTTCTATCGATTACGATAAGATTCTTCTATCTTCATTTCTGATTGATAGGAAAATCGCATTCTGATCACTAATAATTATTAAGTTCACAAAAAAAATTTTTTACAAATTTTTATATTTCAAAATTTTTTTTTACACTTCTCTAATTTTATTTAAATATATACTTCCCTAATTTTTTCCAATATATATGCTTTCACATATATTGCTTTTTGACGTGAAACGTTTCCAACGTAATATTAATGGCGTGTTGACGTGAGGTCATCAATGATTAGACCAAAAAAATAAAAAGGCGTGGCACTTTTTATTATAATATTTTCAAATAAGCAATTATAATTAAAAATATATTTTCAAATGGTTGCAACAAATCACAAGGAGAGAAGAGAGAGAAAGAAAGAGGGAGGGAGGGAGAGAGAGAGAGAGAGAGTGCTTCCCTCTCTGTCTTTTTTTCCTCTTTTAAAGCTTTCAAACTTTCCTCATCCATTATTAATTACTTTTTCTTCCTCCTTTCATCCATTCAATGATATTTTTCTTCTCCTAATTTTAGATTCTAGTTAATGTAATAGCTTTATTCATTATTTGTTTATATTTTGTTGATTTTTTCTTTCTTTTTTTTGCAATAAATTCTTTTTTCTTCTTTGCTAGAATAATATTAATTGTTTTTAATTTTTATCAATTTATGCTAATTTCTAAGATCGAATAGTAATTGGATCGAATAGTTTTAATTTGAGATTGAACTTTGGATGATTTGTATTAAATAAAGTATCACTTGTAAATATACTGGGAACTTGTATCAAATTAAGCTACCACATGTAGATAAAGTCATCGACATTTTTTTCTCAAACTAAAGTATCGTTGGTAGATATGTTCGGAACTTGTGTCAAAGTGAGCTAATATCTTGACACGAAGTAAGCCAAAGTAAGCTAATTAATTAATGCTTGTAGATGGAGTTGAAGTAAGTATCAAAGTATTAGCTGTAGATAAGATTGACATTTGTAACAAAGTATCATTTGTAGATAGGATTGCAACTTATATTAAAGGATTTAGATTGATAGAGAAAATAAACGTACCAGTGATATATACCTTTTTAATCGTATATACGCAAACAATTTAGATCATAAAATTAAAAACTGATTAAATATCCCATCTATTTGTTGCTTCACTTAATGTTTGAATTCAGTTCTTTTTTCCTTGTGTAATATGTGGTAGTGTAAAAAGAATCAAATTCGAATTGTTAATTTAATTTTTGAAACGTTATCTGATGACGAAAACATATTCTTCCATTTATATTCAGGATATTGATGATAATTGAATGAATTTATGCTGAACATCAGTTTCTGGACATCTTCTATTCCAATTTGGCCAATTTATTAATTCATTCTTAACATTCTTTCATCCTCAATTTCATTTGAAATTGGATTAAATTGATGAATTTCGCAAATATTCACGGTTGAAAAAATGCTAAATTAGCTTAACAATTCTACCTTATTCTTCCAGTCATAAATTATGTAATCGATTTCTGCAATCAATTCAAGAATGGCGCAACAGCCCGCCGTATCCGATCCGACTGCTGCTTTATTGGCATTTTCGAAGTCATTCAAGAAAATACGGCGGGCTGAAACTGTCACACAAGCACGATGTGTTAAACAACAAAATGTTGATGATCCATCGATGATACATAAATATACGAAGATTCGTTCAACAAGTTTACCAAATTCAAAGGATCTATATGTTGTTGTGCGTGATAATGATAAGCGATCGTTGACAAAAAAAGTTTCAACTCTGGAAGAAGCGAAAATTTGCAAAAATCGAAAGTCATTCAATTCATTGTTTACAATTTTGTCATCATTTCCTTCTTCATCATTCATTTCAACTAACGGTTACTTGACCAAAGAGTATTGTGGTTCACATTTACAAACAAATGGATCAATAGCAACCACTGTTTCCAAAAGAACAGATGATAATACTACAAAATTGTTAAAATCAACTTTAGCATTAATCACGAAATTAAGCATATATGACAAAATGAAACGACTTCATAAGGTAAGTTAGTTTATAAACTGAAATCAGTAACAATGATTTTTTTTTCTTGTGAAAATAATTTCTTTTGTTAATTTTTATCTTTCATCCATTATTATGGCTTCTTTTCTCAATTCTTCCGACTTTTTTAACATATTTGCAAATTATGAATTCAATCAAATATTAATATTCGAATATAAAATATAGCATATAATATTTAAATGACCAAATATCTGATTAATCTCTTTTTTCTTCTTTTTCTTTTTTCCAATTTACCAAAATATGCATGGGGAAAGAATTATTTTTTATTTCAATTTTTCAAATGAATAATTATGGCTGCAAAAAAATTGCAAAATTCTTTTTTTTTCATCAAATTCTTTGATGAAACCTTGCATTAATTGAATTTTGCTAAATTTCTTGAATTACATTTTGATAATAAATTAATAACAAATCACTGTAATGCATTATTCGTAGTTTATTTATCAATTTTTTTTTGTTTTTTTTTTTTTTGCTCAGTGTAAGGGAAAAAAAACAGAATATTTGAAGTGGTTTATAAGCACTTCTCTTTTTTTGTTTGAAAATGATTTTTTCTGGAAATAATGAATACGGAAAATGGAAAAGTTGTCAAATTTGAAAATGTATAAGAGAAATATGCGATGAAAATGTATAGTAATGTTAAAAATAATTCGAAGTTATATTATTTTTTTTTCCTTTCCTTTTTTTTTCTATTATAATTTCCATTTTGATGTCACTTACATCATCCTCTCATTGCAAACTTATCCATAAGGATAAGAAAATTCATTTTTTTTTGGCTACTTAACATTGGCGCATATGTTCTATATACACACAATTACCCAATGAGTGGCCTGGCCAATTTATCAGATATTTGAGAAGGGAATATTCGATTACCAACCAACCAAGAAAACTTATGAAAGCTTAAACAAATTGAACCAAACAGAACGGGGACAAAATTGAACAATGAATACAAAATTTAAAAGAAACAAAGCATTTTTGAACATCAGATTTTCATGTTATCATTTGAAATTTATCAAAAATTCCCATTTTCTTACAAATAGATTAACTGATATGGAAAAAAAATGGAATTTGAGAATGTTGTAGGACCCATTTCATAAGGTTAAATTTTAAAATTAGCCAAAAATCCACCAGTTCGAAAAAAACCAACGTTTTCTATGATTACTTATCAAATTGATAAATATAAAAATTTCAACAGCTCAACATCGGGGAAGGTAAAAATAGCAGGTGAAAATGTTTCAAAAGCATCGGTGTATTTTAAGTTAACAAAAATTACATATTCTAACTGGTACAATAATTTGAACTTGATAAAGAAAGATCCGAATGATCATTGATTTTCAAATAAAAAAGGGGAAAAAGGAGTAAGCTAATCACTTCCTTAATAATTTGAAACAAATAAAAAATAAGTGGCGAATAAAAAACTTGATATAAAAATTGACATGAATGACGTTGAAAGTTAAAGAATTATTTCAAAAAAAAAAAGTAACATGACGTAAACATTTATAATAATGACTTAAATTCGTAAAACAATTTGCGCCATGTAGAAGTGAAAGGGGGAGTAATAAGTGTTTATGAGGTAGTAAAATTCGAGCACTGATTATATAAAACCATTAAGTGGGGAGATCATTTTTTAATTTTCATGAACTAATTTAAAAGAAATTGGAATCATATTTCAGCCAACTTTACTTGAAACAGATAATGCGGAAAATTCATCAAGTGCCTTTTATCGAAGTATTGATGCGATGCCTGATATGAATATATCACGTACCAAAAAGACTATACCTCTTGTTAGTGAATTGGTATGTTCTTTGACTTTTTTCTTTTTAAATTTTCCTTATGAATAAGTTTAAATTTAAATATGGAGTAATCCTATTAATCAAATCAGGAAAATATAATTTTTTCTCGAATTAGAAAACTTTAGAGAAGACTCTATCAGTTACACATGAATTACATTACCTTATTTCATGTTCAAATCAATTCGATAATAGATTATTAGCTAAAATTTTTGACATCTTGGAATCGCTAATTTTGAAAGATAAGAAAAGATAAAATTTGAGTTTTAACTAATTTTTCCAACATTTTTAAATCAATCATAATCATTTTCGCTAAATATTATCATTATTATCAGTTCTTCTTTCATTCATTAATTGTTTCCTTGAAAAAATGGAAAAAATTAAAATTCTTTACAATAATTTATATATAATATTGTTCTAAAAATTTCTTTCCGATGATTAATTTCATTTCATTTATAAGCTCTGTAATTTGAAGCAATTTGGAGAAAATTTTATGATTTGGGACGAATTCGAGAAAATTCACACATTTGAAAATTTACATTAGAAAAAAAATTCGCTTTAAACATATTAGATACTCTTCTTACCTTCTTTTTCTTCTACTGTTTCTTTTTCACTTTTTTTTTTGAATTGGTATATATATATATATATATATATATATATATATATATATATATATATATATATATATATATATATATATATAT